TCTCAGCGGGTCGAATATATTTCATCCTCTACAACTTCTAAAGGTTGCATAAACCTCATTACAATCCCGATACTATTCCCATTGTTTAAGAGTATCTTTTGTAACAATTGCTATACCACCCACTAATTTTAGCGAACTCCCTGTTACCTTCCTTTAGCATGCTGGGTTTAAAACTGAGGTATGGCAAGATTGTCGCTCCTCATGTGCTTGGCTGATAGATTATACTTAGCTGATCAGCGTTAACGTTACTGTTAATGGTGTAAGGCCGGGGCAAACGCTTAATTACTCTCTTAAATCGGACTAACATAAATTATGAAACAACCTGCAAGCGAAATCGAAAGTTTATTATGTCTATTATTGTTATGTCTATGACGGTGAGAGACGGAGGTGGGAACATTTATCTGACCAGTGCTCCAGTATAGGGTGTTTAAAAATACCCTGTCGTACATATTCACTGTTAAGACATGTATCTGCTGTGCTTCATCATTGAATGAGACTCGCAGTAATGTTCAAAAATTGTGGTTCGTGCTTATCTACTTGGGAGGGCAAACGTTGCATTACGGAAACAGATGCATTAACCCTGATATCATCGGCATTCGGATAACGGCGAAATTTGGCATTCCTTTTCGTCGCTATATACGAACGATTTACGAGGCCAACTAGTTGATCAGTATTCACTGCACCATCTATTTACCGACCACAGGGTAACCGTCATCTCATAACTTAATGGCTACATGGGTATTCCCATAATAACTGACCAGAGAGTAACCAGAAACTAAATGAGATGATTGCAATCTTTTGATCGGATATGTTTTCCGAAGACAAGGTAATATCTTGACCCTGTTACGATGATCCGCCGCATTGTGTTCACATGATGATCTTATGATCATAGTATGGCTGGTTTGTGCCAAGTTTTGCTGCACCTCTGGTGCACCGAATTTTGTTGTGAAATTTCTCGAAATTCTGTGTGCACCTTACAGAAACTGAGAGAAACTCACGCCACATAGAGATGAAGTATAGAAAAAACCTGCGACTAATAAGAACTTGGTTTTTATGAACCTATAAGGCTAAAATTTGCCAGTTATATTAGGCCCGCCTCTACACAACAACGCCTAAAATTTGAAACAGGTTCTGATTTTTAATACCCTAGTCCTAGAGGTTTTTCTTGAAATTTTTTTTCGCGAAAGAGAGAACGAGCCACGAAGCGGCGACAACGAGTCGAGAAGAGTTTTTCGCGCGCGAAGAAAAAAGTCAAGAAAAACTTCTGGCACCAGGGTATATTTTTAAAAATTTTTTAAAAAAATTGTACACTTGGGCCAATAAGATAAGTCGACATTCAGGTCCCCTTTAGAGACATATCATAAGTGCCTTAATTCAGTCCAACTGGAATGTATTGGTATGCAGATTTAACCTAAGGAATAAGCTACAATGTACCTACTTAGGAACCTAAATAGCCTAAGTTTGTGTTAATCACCATTTAAGTAAGAATCTCTTTAGGCTAACTTGGGAAAAATGCAGGTTCTTATATCATCGCGAGTTTTTATATGTATTGGAAGTCGTAAAGTGCAAAGCAACGCAATGTAACCGAATTAACCCCCCCCCCCCCCCCCCCCCCCCGAGTGCTGGGCTATGCTTGGATCAAAATTTTTGCTGTTGGGACACAACAACCAAACACCCCCACAAACAGACCACACGACTGCACACACGACCAACCCCACACGGCGACTGCATCAGCCTCTTACAAAAAAAAAAAAAGTTCTAATTTTGTGTAAACACCTGATAAAATAAAAACTCTTTTGAGGTTATGTGGGGAAAAAAGGGTGTTTTTATATCAGCGAGTTTTTTTATTTGTATGGAAAGGCCAAACGGAAAAAGAAGCGAAATGGCACCGAAATCCCCCCCCCCCCCCTTCCCCCGGTCTGAGTAGGGTTGATATACGTTCAAAACTTTTGTTCTTGGGCAACAACCACACACACACACAAACAGCCATTGAGAATTTTCTGTATCTCATTTCCAGACCCCTTGTCAATTTTGTGTAACAGTTTTGTCACAATCGACATAGCAGTTTGCATTCTTCTTGACTGTGTTCTTTCTCTTGATAGCAGTTTGCCTCTAATTCCCAATCGGTGATCTTTGCAAGTACACTGATATGCTCTAGCTATTTGCCTATATTCATATTTTTAGTGAACCCCCCCCTCCCTCCTCTTCATTTCTAAATTTTTGGATGATCCCCCTTCCTTTCTGCCAGCCACTCCCCATTAGGCATAAATAATAAATGGTCCCTAATTTGTGAAGGTCACTTTTGATCCATTTGAAAATGAATGTTGACTAGCATACAAAAAGTCAAGTTTATATCAAAATGCGAAAGTTCACAATGTCTGTCACCCGGCGCGGTGTTGTTTGTGTTTGTGTTTTTTTTTCTGGAGGTGGGTGGGGAGGGGCGAATCAGAGTTTGTTTCACTTGTACCTTGTCCCCAGTTTGTACGTTGTCTTGTCTCTGTCTTTCGACACCGATTTTTAAACTCTTCCGACAACAGAGTCCAATTTTCTAAACAAACCTTAAATTTTGACAGATATAATCAGTTTGAATGACACAACTGCGCAGACTCACTCATCTAGTCCCTTTAACCTGGTTTTGTAGTCATGACGGACTGAATGAAAGCCACCAGTTTTCATTTCAATGAAAGCTCCTAGTCACTCTGTTCCTGATTTCCAGTTGATTCCAGTTGGCGAATGGTTGAAATATTGTCGCAAAGGGTAAGTACACAAATGATTAGCTGTTCAAATTTAGAGGATTTTTAAACTAAATCATAAAGGCAAATTTTAGCTCCTGTGATTTGGCTTCGCATTGAGGAACTATCAGCTTACAGTAGGTGGATATTGGAAGCATTTGATCTCAGCCGGGTGAATATTCTAAAGGCTGCATAAACCTTATTACAACCGATACTATCCCCGTTTTTTAAGAGCATCATCTTTTGTGAGTAGCATTTACCATGCTATCCATATTAAAGAACCCCCGGGCCCCTTCCCTTTAGTACGCTCGGATTAATACTGAGCCGTTGTATTGTCACTCCTCATGTGCTTGGCTGATAGATTATACCCAGGTGATCAGCGTTAATGTAACTGTTAATGGTGTGAGACCGGGACAAACGTTTGATTGCTCACTTGAAATCGGGCTAACAACAATCTGCGAACGAAATCGAAAGGTTAGAGCAATTAGGGAAGGGAAAGGATAAGGGAGGGGTGGGAAGGGGTCATTTATGTGACCAATGCTCTGGTAGGGTTTAAAAAAACTCCCTCACGAACATGTATACTGCTTAAGACATGCATTTACAGTGCTTCGCCATTATTGAACTAAACCGGTTATGAGGTTCACAAAATTTTGGTTTAACAAAAGCACTGCAAAAGCAAATAAATTATATGCAGACACTGTGATATCTTGACCCTTTTACCATCGTTTCCGCATCATACGAACGTATGATCATCATGTGATCAAATTGTGACCGGTTTGTATCTAGAATCTGTGTTTGCTCCAGCGAATTTCTGGGAATTAACAGGAATTTCGTAGAAGTTTGGGAAATAAGAAAAGTAAAGTAGCTGTCTTCGAATGTCGTTATAAAGACACTGTTCGGCGCAACCGAACGAAAGCATCGCAATGCCAACGTGAAGACTCTTCACATTGGCATTACGATGCTTTCGTTCGGTTGCGCCGAACAGTGTCTTTATAACGACATGAACCAAATAAACTGAATTTAGTCGTCTTCGTACGTAAACAGCAAACTGTGGGAAAATTGTAGGAAAACACTTCTTACAAAATAAGCAGTTATATGTATTGATAAAATAAGAACACGCCGTTCGACTGATTGCACATAGATCTTATTTAGTTGCGAAATGATTTTTTGCTAGCCTGCTCCTAGTTAGGAAAAAATCGCGAAATTGCATTTCAAAAGCGCTTCGTTTTCTAAAGGTTACGGCCGAATATAAATACTGTGCAGTTTTTACTGTATTTCTAGCAATAAAAACTTCATCCCAAAATATCTAGAAAACACTCTCATAGATTTTGCTCAAACTTGACTTACTAATCTTCTTATTTTTATTTTCATTTCGCAATGATAAAGCTCTGGATAAGCTGAGGAGAAAGACGGCGAGGGGGGCTTTCCAATGGCATTTGCAACACCGAATGATTCTGATCATGTTTGTAACTACTATCAGGTACACACATTTTGCTATTTCTTAACATGTACGACTGGTACAATTTGAGTTAGGTAATAAGCAGAAGTCAATTGGAAACGAGAGACAAAGGCAATGTATCTCCATGCAGTCGTGTTTTCATTACCTCTTTCTCGGGGTATATTGTGTCCGATACAAAGACGGCCTCGTTCGTGTGGTTGGAAAACCAACAATAATCATGCAGATACGTGTGGTAGGGGCTTTAAACCTGAGCCAGTTAAAAGGTTTTCCAACTGTCGGTCAAACTCACATTGCTTGTGAGTTCACTAAAAAAATAGATATTTAGCGTCCTGCAGTTATTTTGAAATCAAAACTGGCATGAGATTCATACACAAAATTTCCTAAAATTAGCACAATGATTAGCATATTGGAAAAACTAACGGCAAACCACAAAGATCCCAGTAACTGGTAGCGAGAAACGTAAAGAGTCAAGGTGGCAGAGGTAAAGCAGAATATGAACATAATCTTGTCAGAAAACACCACATAGCTTGAATAGCTCTGCAGTCTAATTAAAAAATGTGAAACTATGCAAAAATTCTCTGCTCACCTTCTTATGTTTTTTTCTGTGTTTATTTCACTTACATGAACAAAGCTTTTAGGTCTAAGTGAAAATGCATCAAACGAAGAAATTTATCGTGCTTTCCGTGTACGAGCACTTGAAGTGCACCCGGACAAGAACCCGGAAGATAAAGTCAGGGCCACTAAAGAATTCCAGCTTCTAACAGAGGCTAAAATTGTTCTTTTGGATGCTGAAAAACGGCGAAATCTAGATGAAAGTTTGATTGACAACGGTGCGCGCAACTGGAATGCCTTACCTCTTTTGTGCAGTATTTGTACCAACTGTAACTCAAAGGTAGGATCAAGATGTCTAAAAGGAATGGGTCACATAAATCCTCTGATAGAAGAATTCAATTCAGCTTCAAAAGAGTACGATTACAGAAAGAAGACTAAATCAAAAACTTCTCCAGACAGAAATGAATTTTTAACTACCCTTCAAGAAGTGCTTAAAAAATTCATCATCACTGATTTACATAGGCTGTATCCGTTGATGGCAAGTCAAAAACAGAGGCCATGTTCAAAAGACGAGGTTGTCCCACCACTAACTGAACTTGGCGCGTGCCTCTCTGGAAGTGGAATTAGCAGCTCAAAGTCGTCGGTTCCCTCAGCAGCGGCTGTTGTAGAGATTTTTAACCTATCTTTCGTTCGTAAGTCAAAGAAAAAGCCTCCGCTGCCTCCGCTTGGCACGGAAATTCCAATATATGACCTATCAAGCTTGTCTAAGAGTGAACTGGAACAGGTTCTTCAATACTTTGGCCTTCCGAATGTAAATCCCTTTTCTCGAGACTCTGCTATCAAGGAACTAAGCTTATTCATTCCAAGATGTAACGTTGAGTCCAAACAATCTGGTGGCTACCAAGACAGGTCGAGGCGTTTGTGCCATCAATGTGGAAGAAAACGTTTCTTCCTCTTTCCTTTTTCCTTTGATACTTGTTTCGCCTGTAAAAGCGTATGTTGCTGGGAATGCCTATCCAGCGCAAGACGAAAAATCCCCACAAGTGGCTCATACGATTTAAGATCACTGTGTAAAAAGTGTCTGACCACTTACAAATCAAGAGAGGCAGCAACATGGCTCACACATGGTCAGTACCTGTTAGGAAGAGAAAAAAAGTTCTTAGAAGCCGCACTAGCGATGTACAACCTTTGCAATGAGTTGTATCCATCGGAAATCGCCATCATAAAACAAGCACAGGCACTCTTCTATTGTAACAAGCATGAACGGTTGATCCACTATGGCAAAGAAGTACTTCGTACAACTACGTTTGAGCGAGACAATACTCAGGAGCTTCAGAAACTGGTCACTGAGTCCCTTATGAAAGTTGCTCATGATGCTGACGACTCCGATTTGTTAAGGAAAGCTAACAAGTACGAGGAAGTAATTAATTGGACTGCACAGTTTTCCGAAGAAAGTGGAGATGCGATCCGTGATTTAAAGATAGAGGCAATGAGAAGGCGACAGAAATGCTTTGAGGTTTATGAAAAAGTCACGAGGCGAAGAGCAAAGATTCTATTTTCACACCTGACTGCTGCCATTAGAGAGGGTTCTCTCCTGAAGTTGTTCACTTTGTTACAAGACATGGATGAAGAGGCAAAGGATGCGTGTTTAAATCAGCTTTCAATGGAGTCACTAGAGACTTACAGTCAATACGGTAAACTGTTGTTACGACTTGCGAAAACGACGTTAACATTCAAGAAGGACCCCACAGGTGCTTTTAGTCAAATCACTGACATATTTTGGACGGGCTATTCTCTCTTTATGAGTAATGGTTGCAGAGAAGACATTTTCCACTTTGTAATCCATTTCACATGTCAGTTATTGAAAACAAGACATGGATTGTTCCTGGAAACATTGAATGAAATTACTCGCACCAACTTTCTGCAGTGTCTCCATCTTACTGAAGATGACATCTTTTCACCACCAGACATAGGGGCCAGACGGTGGGAAAACGTTATTGTGGAAGGCTGTGACATGAAGATGTTCCTGAAATACGAACTGGCTGTAAAGAAGCTCTTCGAGACCAAAAAATGGTGTCCAGTCAAAGTTGCCCTTTCTTATTACGACCTTACTTCTGCATGTAAGCATCCTTCTCAACTTTTGGTGACCCTGATAACTTCTGCACAGTGGTTTGCAAGGCAAATGTCATTGCCCAATTCAGACGATGCATTACAGTATTCGTGCAAAAAAATGATCCTGAGACTCACCAACCTGGCAGCTGCACTGTCCTTCGAGTTTGGCATCCACCCACATCTGCAGTACTATGTGGCAAGGATGGTGTTGGGGCTCCAATTTTATGCTTGCTGCAAGGCACCCTTTGGAAGCCAAGACGACGCTACAACCATTGGAGAGCATTTGAACTGGCTGGTCGCTTCTGGGCGTCTTTGTCCATTGCACAAAATGCCAGTTGTCTCACCAACCGAATCTGTTATTTTGCACGTAATGTCACAAGACCTATACTCTGAGTATCTTTTAACGCTCCAGGATGAAGTGCCACTTCAGATGAGACCTATGTCGGAATCGATACTGCGGTACCATATTTATGAGAATCACTGGCTCAAGCGATGTGAGCTACAAGATGGCGATGGCCTTCGCTTGACTGCAATGACTGAGTTGTTACATGCGGAAGACTGGTCATGGGATGGTGTCCAGCGGCTTCTCCAATGGAATCTGGTTCCACTGGATAACGAAGGTTGGCTTGTTAGTGACCACCAACTGTTAGAACCTGTTGCTTCAAGTGGTATCCATCAACTTATTGGTCTTGAAATCAACAAGAATGACTACAGTATCAGGCTACTAACAAGAAGGAAAACAAGGCGGTTACCCTCACTCTTATGCTGGCAAGATATTGCCATTGGTTTTACCATAGATTCTCCAGGATGTTTTTTCAGCTTGGAAGCAGTGACCCCCCAGGAAACGCTGTATCATCCTTTCAATAAGCAGATTTTTATGCCAGAGGAATTGCAAGCAAGCAGATTCTTAAACACACTGTTCCACACCGACTACCTTCTAAAGCAGTTGAGCACTGGGTTTGAGATTTCATCGTATCCTCCTTTTCATAAGCGTCCGGTCCATCAAGGTTTATTAAAGGGTCTCCCTAATGAGTTACAGAAAGTCCTTTTGTCCATACCCAGTCGAGGTCCATCTCTTAGCCGAGTTCACCGATTCTGGATACAAGCAGACGCCATGGAGTACGATATCCAGGAAAACGACGATTCAATACGTTGGTTGTTTGGAGATGTCGACATGACCGTTCGCTGCAAGCCCATGTGTCACTCGCAGGATGGAGAACTGCAAGACCAAGACGTTCTTGGCCCAGATCCTGACAGCCCGGAAGGAAAGTTCGTTGCTGACTTTACCACACATTATGATCAGATCGGAAAGTGTTTTCCGGAATTTCTCCGCTTGAAGGAACTTTGCAAAGTTCAATGGCTGGGAGCTTTCATAGCCAGCTTTGAAAAGACTTTGGAGGAACAAACTAAACGGCTCGAAAGTAGGGAGATGGATGCAAAGTATCGTGAAATATATGCCTTAGCTGTCCAAGAAGCTCAAAGTGAGAGCAAAAAACAACTGGATGGCATGTTGCTTGAAATAAGGAGCCAAGTCGGTTTTATCAGCGACGAAATGGTTCGACTTATTTATCAAAAGGCCAACATTCCAGCTTCGTACCACGAGATTTACAATTGGGTGCGTTTTGGGGATTCGACTGTGATTGCAAGAAAAATAGCATATAAACGTGTCCCATTTGTCTCGGAGATTAAGCAGCAGGTGATCAATGAGCATTCAATGAAACTAAGGCAGTATCGAAGATCAGTCTCTGCATTGAAGAAGAATTGCAACGAGTGCCTTCCGTCCACTGATTTGGCCAATGGATGCTGTTGGGTGCCGGCTGTCTGCCACTGTGACGACGGAAAATGCATCCACGGAGGCGTAGCTTTGACACCAGTGCCACGCAAAGTTACTCTCAGAATGGAAAGTGATTTCAGCAGGGTGCCGCTCACTCCAAATTTCTTTGGAAAGAAAGTAAGAAATCCGCCTGTGAAACCATTTAATCCTCCACGAATCAAGGGAAGGAAAGTTCCTTTAAGAAACGGCGATCCTGCGACCGGTCCAACTGGTGGTGACTCTGGCGGCAGTTCGTCTTCAGGTGACGGTGAGGACTGCAAAAACCGTGGCAATCTTTCTGGAAATGGAGGTAATAATTTGAAAAACATAACAAACTATGTCCTCAGTGACGGAAACTCGAACGTCACCAACCCAGAGTATTGATGTGCGAATGATGTGACTCGCCACCCTGGGCAACAATTATCACCCAAAAGCGACTTTTAAAATTGCAAATTACCCAGAGAATGTGAACATATAGCATCCTTAAAAATTTAGGTCCCGGACGGTTGGAATATACTATGCTACCTAAATTTTAACAAATCAGAGTAATTAAGGTTTCGTCCGAGAAAACCCAAATTTATTTTCAAAGTGACCTTTTCGTTGTCGTGACTAGCGTTGTTGCTTCAGTCGTTAATATTGATATCTGTGTTCATGTTATGGCCATTAATTTGTCAAATGATAACGTTACTAGGAGCTTGCATCACATGACAATTTTTGTAGCATTAAATATGTTTCTTTTATATTTTAGCTGTCGTGGGAACCGGGCATACGTTTTTTTTTCGCCACATTTTACTAGCCAAAGAGTTATTTCAAAACTTTGTAACATTACAGGCAATTGCTCATTTTACCTAACACTTTAACCGAAGGTTGCATGATTAACGCGGGTACGTATCAAGACAAAACCCTGCCGGAAATTTAGCAATAAATTTTATTAAATATTATACGACTGAGTAAATAAATTTGCGTAGTGTTAAGTCTGCGTGGTTTTCTTTTCAGTGTCGATATTCTTCAAAATGCGTGTGGAAAATCATAGGGGTTTAAGTCTTTTGTCAAGAATAAGAATTTCAAATAAAATACTCTGTCTGGTATTTCCATCAAGCCCAAAACTTGATAAAGTATGAAGATTTAGAAAGCCTTAAGCTCGACTGGGATAACTATTTCGCAAACCCCATTGTCAGTAGGAGTTTTCGGAACGATCAGGATCGCTGAGATTCTGTTTTGCTCATATTGCAACTTTAAAAAAATTAGTGATTTTTTACGTTCGAATCGTAAACTCTCAGAAAACTGAAAATTGGTTGGAATAAAAATTTTATAGCATATCACAAAAGATTTTTGTGAGCTTCATTTGATATTTTGGGCTTTTGACAAGTGTAAAGTAAACACGCCACTTAAGTTCGGTACCGGATAGTAGACTTCCCTGTAGTTGCTGAGTAACACCAAGTTCCTTTTGCCCAAGTATATGTTTGGTAAAAACTAAATAAATAAGTCCAACCATATGCATTATGAATTTCAAAGCATTTTCTACAAAACAAACTCTCAAAATTACCTTGTCTTATGCATGTTTATAGGTGGTGATGGTGGGGATGATTTAAAGCAGAAGAAAAGGCGACAAGAAATTAGAAAAGAAAATGAAAGGATTGAGAAACTATTTGGCTTAACTGAGGAAAAGCGCATTCGAGATGATAAAATGAGTCCAAAATGCAAGCAGTTTCTGGAAAAATGCGAGCCAGGCCTACAAGCATGCAAGAACCTTTTCAGTGAGTTCAGTAAGCATATCCCACCGGGCGAAGAAGAGGCAAAAGGCAAGTAGAAATCCGCCATATTATTTTATGTTGCAAATCACTTGATTGACTATGAATTGAAGTTTGTCAAAATTATGTTTTAAGTAAAATCGATATCACTATGACAACGATAAACAAAAAACCTTTGAAATCGATAATTCCGATTTTTGCGCGTTCTAGACCTGCTACTGAAAATCCGACACCAGGAACTTTTAAGTGCGGTGTTTAGCAAATAACCTCCGTTAATCATTAAGTAGCGCCAGAAGGCTGCTTAATATCATTTTTCGATGCTAGGAAATTTTGATGTAGTTTCTTTCTTGCGATCCTGAAAACTTACCTGTCTTCTCGCCACCTGTCTACGTGCAACTTTATTTTAAATTTTGACTTTTAGCGCCTTTCTGTATTATCTCTAAAACGGCCGCACAGAATTCCTTTTAAATCCCGTCACATAATCTTCGTTATGTATATAACAATGTCTGAAACTTTCATTAAGATTGATTCATTGTAACACCTTGAAATTTCAAGAGAAACCTATCCTACGAACCGGCCAAAAGTCCGCGTTACAACATTCACTGTTTTGACGTTATGCTAATTCTTCTAAATTGATGCCCATCATACATACCTGCATGGCTAGCATAATACTCATCCCTGGGTATTGTTATTCATGACATTATAATAAGGTATGGGGAGTCAATCTAACCTGGGACAAGCCTAGGGGCCTGTTTACATGGAGTGGGGGACCCCGGTCTAGTGGGGTTGGTTTCTTTTGTTTTCACGCTCTGGGGGACACAAAACAAAAGAAACCTACCCCACTAAACCGGGGTCCCCCACTCCATGTAAACAGGGTCTTTAAGACAGATTGAATTGAATACATAAATAGGTAATCTGGAACCCGACTTACCCGCTGGGGAGGGTGGGTTGGTCGCCAATCACCTTCGTGTCGGACAAAGTGATGTGAATAGGACAATGCGTGCCAGTGTTTCCTATTGTATAAACTTATTTGCATATCATTAATTAATCCCCAGGGATGATCTTTACAATTCAGATGGAATGTGAATAGAGAGGTTATTGACGGATATAACAGACTGAAATTCAGGCCAAATTTGTTTGAATTTCTACTGTGTAATTGAAAATCGATTTTTGCATATTAATTGTAAAGAACGCTCTATTGATCGTACAAGCGCATTAATGTTTGTCTTATCCATCCTAAGGTTGTCCAGGAATCCTATTGAATTGCAAACTGTGTCGTAAAAATGTTAATGAATAGTGTTTGTACTTTAATGTTTGTCTGTTGTCCTTATTGACTTTCAAGATGGTGTTAATGACTCGACTTTGATGTTGGCGGTAATGAAGGTATATTTTTCTCTTTTGTATGCCGAATGACGCATATGAAGGCCCAAAATGTCACTGAATGTTGATTAAAATGCAAAAATCGTAATCGTAAACACCACACTTGAAGTTCCGGGTGTCGGATTTTCAGTAGCAGGTCTAGATCGCCCAAAATTCGGATTTTATCGATTTCAAAGTTTTTTGTACATCGCTGTCATAGTGATATCGATTTTACTAAAAACTTAATTTTGACAAACTTCGATTCATAGCCAATCACTGGTGAAAAGTGTGTAGCCATCAGATAAGGACAAAATCACTTTTAAGACGATTGAAAACCATCGGTATGGTCTCCAAAAAACTGTATCTAAACACCTTAATGTGCAATAGATTGGAGCTTTAATGTGACAATGCTTCTTTTCTAGGTAAAGATCAGCCTCATAAAGACATAAAATCGGCCCTAGACAGCATTAAAAAAGGCATCAAGCCTAGGAATTGGGAAAATACTGTTTTCACAGGCGTTATGACGTCTCCGGATGGCAAGTTCAAGTGGACCATCACTGCACGCACTAAAAGTAGCGATAAACAACCGGTACCCACCCTAGAACTCTATCCCCGTTTTCGCACAAAACCCTACAAGATTCGTTATGGTCAACTATAAGCTTGGATTAATTTCCCAGATGGTCTTTATTATGCACTTCTCTTTCTGTAGAATTTTCAGACAACATTTGCAGCATTTGAGTGTTAAAAAAAATTACCTCCGACTTTTACACAAGGAAACCCTAATTCGTTTTAAGGAAACAAATTTTGCACAAGAGGCCTTGCAGTGTTGTTTGCCATACCATTGTCGCACAAACCGGTTAAGTTTTTTATGTATTACTTGACAACCGTTTGGCAAATTAACTTTTTGTGGGTTTCTGCTTAGCAAATGAGGGCCGAGACTGTCACAAGTACATGTAAAGACGACGTACTTGCCCCATGTAGATTTAATTTTACTAAACCTTATTTTTCCCATTCCTTTCATAACTGTTGCAATAAATCTTACCAGCGTAGTACATTATTAGCAAAACAGATTGGCAGTGAGGAAGTGTCATTTTTTACATGTATGACGCTATCAACTGAAAAATGAACATTTTTCACTTTTTTAACATATTTTCTTTCTTTCTTTTATCGCTGGCGGCTGTTCATGTAATTTTTGACCAGACATTTCTTGCAAAAACCTTACGTTGCCTAACAGTGAAGAAAACTGCTTTTTATAATTTTAAGGTAGCGATATATATTATGATTTACGATCCCGCAGTTGCTCCAGGTTACAAAAACGTTGTTGAAGAGAAACCATTTTAACCTCAACGTAAGGCTGAAAATACGTTTTTTAAACAAATTAATGTAAAGAAAAGTAAGAATGATAGACAAAAAAGTTTTGAAATTGACCCAGACAATTTTAATGAATAGTCCCAAAATTTTCAAGTTTAAAATTTCAAGTTCTGTTTGAAAGGAAAAAAACTTTTGGGTTTAGAATTTTGTACAGGCGAAAGGTTAAAAATCGAAGGTAAGCAATTTTTTAAGCAGCTAGCTCCTGATCTTGAAAGATATTTAGTTCTAAGAAAATTAAGTTGTTATTTTCCACGGAAAATCCTTAGAATTACAGTCTACGTTGACCACTCAGTGCCCAAATACTCACATGAATAAGGTCGCTGTCTCTAATTAGTAGGGAGCTGACGACGGCAACGACAGCGAAAGCGTCAGCGAAAAAGTGAATTTGTTCTGCTTCAAGTTTCATCGCTCTTATTCCAACTCTTTCACTTTGTCAAATTTTGGCGATTTGACTTGGAGTTGACTTCTAAAGGACTGTAGAGGTTCACAAAAAGAAAAAGAAAATCTTTGTCTTATATTCACGTCCGCAATAAAACGTGAGATTAGGAAGATTCACGTCGTAATCGTGCAGTGGCGGCAAAGTAATGTACAAAAAAGCGGGATGCACTTGCAGAGTTGTTGTTTTGTCAGTTTTTTTTTTTGCTGTTCTCGTTGCCGTCGCCGTCGTCTTTGCTTAAGCTCCCTATTATCACAGTCTGAACTCGGATTCTGAGTGACATAGTTTGAAGTGAAAGTTTTCCTAACGTTGTTTGAATATAAGATTGAGAGGAGAAAAATAAAAGAAATTCAATTGCAAGTCAGCTGTACAATATCTAAAGGCGGAACGAATAAAAA